TGATTAAATAAAGATTAAATTTATAATTCTCATCTTTTAAATTAATATTAAAATTTTAAATTCTTTTATTAATATATATATAATATAAATTTTAAAATTATATTTTAATTTGTAATTAATTAATTTTTATATAAATATATTACACAACTTAGTTACCAAGTAACAACAGACTTAAGCCAAAACTGTTTTAAAATATTGTTCCAAGTATACTTAATATCAATTATACTTATTCATAAATATAATAAAATTCAGTTTTGATAACAAAATAAAATGTATTCACTAAATAAAATAAATCTTTTGAATTTTAATTATTTATTCTTTTAGGACGTTATAAATATTTTAAAACATAAACAATATATTTAAGTAATTATAAATAATGTTAGTGTTAGATATTGTTTATATATTATTTGATATTGTTAAGATATTGTTAGATATTGGTAACCACAATATCAAACAATATCTTCTGTTTATTCTGTTACTTTCGGTTACTCTTTTAGTTGTATTTCTCTACTATAAATAGACCACCCTATGTGTGATTTATACACAAGGGAAATTAATTCCAAACTATATTTTCTTTATATTCAACATGGTATCTAGAGCTTAAGGTTATCTTGAATTTTTTTCCGCCTTTTGTCCACTTGTTGGAGCCGCCCACCATTGCTAGAGCCGCCCACCGCTGTCGGTAAGCTGATCCTCCACATCGGAAAAGAATTATCTTTGTCATTGAATTTTATTTGGTAGTGTGAAAGTGCATGTTTAGGAAAGTTACGGCAAGGAAAGACTTGGTATTTAAGTGTGTCCATTAGTGACCCACCTCTCTTTCACGGGAACTTACCTAGTGTACTAGTTCACGTTACGTCATCCGCTGCCATTGGAGCGATCCATTGGGTCCGCCGCTGTCGGAGAATTCGCCGGAGTTTCATTTTTTACCAGGTGACATATGATTTTGCTTGTCTCGGTCGGGGTTTGTTCTCCCGCTCTTCATGACTTCTTCCACTATTTCCAATTTTGTTAACGATTCTTTTGTGTTGACATCCCATCGTGATGACCAGGGCTCGCCCTCGCAAACAGGAAAAACGGCGTCCTAAGTGTGAACATTGTGGCAAGCTAGGTCACAAGATTAACAAGTGTTATACATTACATGGTCGTTCTCCTCGATCTGCTGTAGTTGTTCGGACCAATCTTTCCCCACCTTTATCCGTAGGGATCTTCCTTCTTCATTGCATCCGACATGTCTCGCTATGTTCAACAAATTTCTCGAATGGTATAAGGATCAACAGTCTTCTAGTTCCACTATATCTGTCACACATACAAATACATATTTTGCTTGGTCCGACCCAATCATTTTCTCCTGGTCCTTGGGTTTTTGATTCGGGAGCCACTGATCATATTATCGGTAACAAATCTTTGTTCTCCTCTTTATCCTCTCCTAATCATTTACCTTACGTTACACTTGGTCGATGGCTCTAGAGTATCATCTCATGGTGTTGGAACGGTTAAACTCTTTCCTTCTTTAACCATTGATAATGTTCTTTATGTCCCCGGGTCTCCTTTTAACCTTGTTGTCCATCGGTCGTCTAACTCGTTCTCTTGATTGTGTTGTTACTTTTACCAACAATTCTGTGTGTTTACGGGACCGGAGTTCGAAACAGGTGATTGGCACGGGATGTGAGTCTCATGGTCTTTATTATCTCCGTCCCTCTACACATGTTAGTACGGTTATGGAGTCTCCCTCTCTTCTTCATGCTCGGTTAGGTCATCCAAGCCTTGCCAAGTTACGGAAACTTGTCCCTGCCTTGTCTAACTTATCTAGTTTGGCGTGTGAGTCATGTCAATTAGGCAAGCATAGTCGTACTTCCTTTCCTCGTAGTTTCACACGTGGTGCTTCGTCCCCTTTGCCGTGGTTCACTCGACATTTGGGGACCTAGCCGCGTTAAGTCTACTTTAGGTTTTCAATACTTTGTTACTTTCATTGATGATTATTCCGAGATGCACTTGGTTATTTTTGATGAAAAATCGTTCGAATTATTTCATATCTTTCAAACTTTTTTTAATGAAATTCAAACTCGGTTCGGTGTTTCTATTAGAGTTTTGCGTAGTGATAATGGCCGTGAATATCTTTCTCATTCTTTTAAACAATTCATGGCTTCTCACGGTATTTTGCATCAAACTTCTTGTGCTTATACACCTCAACAAAATGGTGTAGCTGAACGTAAAAATAGACATCTTATTGAAACAACTCGCACACTTTTAATTCATGGAGATGTTCCTCAACATTTTTGGGGTGATGCTCTTCTTACTGCATGTTATCTCATTAATCGCATGCCTTCTTCGGTTTTAGATAATAAAATACCTCATTCCATTTTATTCCCTCATGAACCACTTCATCCTTTACCTCCGAAAGTTTTCGAGTCTACATGTTTTGTTCATAATTTCAATTCAGTGCTGGACAAGCTTTCTCCTAGATCACATAAATGTGTTTTCTTAGGGTTTACAAGATCACAAAAAGGATACAAATGTTTTTCTCCTTCTCTTAACCGTTATTTTGTGTCAAAAGATGTCACCTTTGATGAGTTGTCTCTTTATTTTAAAAGTCAAACTTCACATCTGTCTCCATCCAATCTTGTCAACACTCCTAATACATTTAATGTTCCTGTTGTTTGTGACCCTCTAATTGTGTCTTCTTCACCATTAGTTTACGCTCCATGAGTTAGCTTCTTCTCCACTTGCCTCTTCGATTTATAGTTCTCGAAACCAATCACAACCACCACCATGTGACTCTACTCAAGTGCCAACTACTCTGTCTCCTCCGGATCCGACACATGAGTCCGACCTTCCCATTGCCCTCCGAAAAGGTATTCGTTCTACACGTAATCCCTCTCCCCATTATATTGCTTTGAGTTATCATCGATTGTCATTACCTTTTTATACATGTCTTTCCTCTATTTCTTACGTGACCATTCCAAAAGCGTACGTGAAGCTTTAGCCCATCCTGGTTGGCGTCGAGGCCATGTTAGATGAACTAAGTGCTCTTCATAATAGTGGAACTTGGGAATTGGTCCCGTTACCGTCTGGGAAATCTGTTGTTGGTTGCGGGTGGGTGTTTGCTATCAAAGTTGGACTCGATGGTACTATTGATCGCCTCAAAGCTCGTCTTGTGGCCAAAGGTTATACTCAAATTTTTGGGTTGGATTATGGAGATACCTTTTCCCCTGTGGCAAAGATGGCTTCGTTCGTTTATTTATCGCCATGGTCTGCTCTTCAACAATGGTCTCTTTATCAACTTGGATGTTAAAAATGCTTTCCTCAATGGTGATTTGCAAGAAGAAATATATATGGAGCAACCTCCTGGGTTTGTTGCTCGGGGGAGTCTTCCGGGATGGTATGTCGTCTTCACAAATCCCTATATGGCCTAAAACGGTCTCCTAGGGCTTGGTTTGGAAAGTTTAGCAAGGTTGTTCAACAATTTGGTATGACTCGGTGTGAATCGGATCATTCGTCTTTTATCGACACTCGAGTGCTTGGATGTGTTTACTTGATAGTATATGTTGATGATATTGTTCTTACAGGTAGTGACAACCATGGCATCTCTCGGTTGAAACAACATCTTTGTCACCATTTTCGGACCAAAGATCTTGGCAAACTTAGATATTTCTTGGGTATTGAGGTAGCACAGTCCAATGATGGTATTGTTATATCTCGGAGGAAGTATGCCATAGATATTTTGGAAGAAACTGGGTTGATGAGTTCAAAGTCTGTTGATACACCCATGGATCCCAATACTAAACTTCTACCAAATCGGGGGAGCCTATATCTGATCCTGAGCAGTATAGAAGATTGGTTGAAAAATTGAATTATCTTACGAGTTACTCGTCCCGACATTTCCTTTGCGAGTCAGTGTGGTAAGTCAATTTCTTAATTCACCATGTGAAGATCATTGGAATGCAGTCATTCGTATCTTGAAGTATATTAAAGGATCTCCTGGAAAAGGATTGTTATATGCTTCTAATAACCATACAAGAGTTGTTTGCTACTCGGATGCTTGATTGGGCGGGATCTCCTTCGGATAGAAGATCTACATCCGGATATTGTGTCTCCATTGGTGGTAACTTGATTTCATGGAAAAGTAAGAAACAAAGTGTTGTGGCAAGATCCAGTGCAGAAGCGAGAATATAGAGCTATGGCCTCAGCTTCCTGTGAACTTGTTTGGCTCAAGCAATTACTTAGAGAGTTACAATTTGGAGATGTCACTCAAATGACACTTGTGTGTGACAATCAGTCTGCTCTTCATATTAGTTCTAATCCTGTATTTCATGAGAGGACCAAACACATTGAGATTGACTTGTCATTTTATTCGAGAAAAGATTATGTCTGGAGATATCAAGACTGAGTTTGTTAACTCAAGTGATCAGTTAGCGAGATATTTTTACTAAATCTTTACGGGGTCCTAGAATTGATTATATTTGTAACAAGCTTGGCACATACGATTTGTATGCTCCAGCTTGAGGGGGAGTGTTAGATATTGTTTATATATTATTTGATATTGTTAAGATATTGTTAGATATTGGTAACCACAATATCAAACAATATCTTCTGTTTATTCTGTTACTTTCAGTTACTCTTTTAGTTGTATTTCTCTACTATAAATAGACCACCCTATGTGTGATTTATACACAAGGGAAATTAATTCCAAACTATATTTTCTTTATATTCAACAGTTAGAATATGAAGTTTAAATGTGATTGTGGTAATATGTAAAATATTATGTATGCCAATTTGTTGGATGGTTTTTATTATCTTATAATAACAACAACTTGTTTCTATTTTGAAAACAAAACAAAAAATTGTTAATCTAACCAAAGAAAAATTTATAATCGAACTCAAAAAGAAAATCATTTATGCATTTTCTTTTATATATAAAAAATGAATGATAATAATAAATAAATAAATAAATAAATAAAATGTAACTAAAAACAATGATTTGTCCAAGAAGACCTAATCTAGTATCTTGTAGGTGAGACTAAGCTTTGAACGAAATTCTTGTCATGAACCCAAACTATGTGGTTGGAAAGTTCAATGCATTTGACAAGATTATCTTTTTCATCATAATAAATTTCTATCAAGTCACCACGATATGCAATCATGATAACATGATCATTGAACATGCACAAGGGTTGTGGCATATGATCAATATCATGCATGGCAATGTGGAGCAATCGAATCCAAGAGTTACGATTCCCAAACTTCTTCATCTGCCAAATGGAAAAATGATTTGTCATGGTATCGCGAAGAAAAAGACTCAAACAATCATTCAAAACCCCAATTCTTGGAACTTCATTCAAGCTGTATCCTCGGGAGGTGAAAACATCAGTGTGGAGGACTCCATCAAGAACAAGAGGCAGCAACAAGTTTGTGTATCTCTCACTCCCCATGTGAAGTGAAACAATCACCAATTCATCAAATGTAACTTTTGAGTCATCATCGTCACCAGAGTGAAGGTGCTGGTTAAGGGGAAGTGCTAATGCAATCCAATTAAGAGAGTTGTTTAGATACACTCCACAACCTTGCTTTGTAGCAACTGGATCAGCAGGGAAATTTTGAATGCTTCTCCAATCGTTATCATTATCTGCTACGTTGCAAACTTTGACCTCACATGATCCGAGTGAACCATCCTCAGAACTCAGAGTGGAAAGGAGTGCCACGACCTTGTATGTATCGGTTTTGGAGTCATATCCAAACCCAAACATGGTGACAAGATTCTTGTAAGAAAGAATTTCCAAAACACACTCTGGATATTCAAATGTTTGTCTTGTGACAGGATTCCACAAGCAAAACATGCAGGATTTGTAGTTGTCATGTCTGGAAATCAAGCAGACCAACCCATTGCAGGTTCCGACCACCTCGTGGTTGCCTTTGAGATGGAACCCAAGACTGAGATCGCGCGATGATGATGATGATGATGGGTTCTCTAATAAAGAAGTAAGAGGACAAGACACGATGCAGGGATAATCAAGAGTGTCATGTTTACAAGTTATCAAAAAATTGGTATTTTTCGATGATCTTTGGATTTGTTCTTTCACGAACATTGGATCGGTGAGAAGTGACTGAAAGGATTTGGAAATGCATCTACATTGTCCAAGAACTTTAACGGGAAGTCGTAACAAAATCTCCATGAGAATATCTTCACATAAGGACGACGCTGACGATGATGATGACATGTCTTCTTGTTTAAGTTTGGAACAAATTCTCCTTCACCTCACTTTTCACTCACTACTTTTTCACTGTCACTATTTCTTTTACACTGGTGCGGGATCTAATTTCAGACGAGGGTTACAACTATTTATAGTGAAATAGGTTTAAAACTCATTGATTATACCACTCATAAATTAAATCATTAATATAATTCTAAAAATACTAAAAAGTTTTATAATAGGTGCATGTACCAATTACTTATTTATATCATATTCAAAGATCAAATTCTATCTTATCAATAAGATAAGATTTTAAATATATAAAATATATTATCATTATTTTTATAATAAAGTTATTTTCAACTATTAGTATTTATTAAATATTGAAATTCAAAAGATAAAAATACAAATAAAAAAGATAACATAGATGAAAAAAAATCTTGTCAAATATTAAAGTTTTAAAAGAAAAAGTTTCAACATATTAAGTGTAACGGTAGTTTTTTTTTTTTTTAATAATTGTTAAGTATTTTTAAAAACTTTATTTATTTTCGTATAGATAAATAAGTGACTAGATTACAAATGTCGTTAGTTATAAGATAAAAGACATTATCTATAATATTATCATAAATATACAAAAGATAAATTTTACATATTTATAAACAAATCAATGAATAAATTATAAATCTATTTAATTATCAAATAGATAAAAGATATAAGAGATTGTATTAAAGAAAACAAAAAGATTAAATTAAGATAATAACAGATACGGTTTTGTTTTATCTTAAAACAAGACATAAATATTCTATGCTAAAAAATAATAATATTTTACTTTTTTTTATGCACTTTACTTATTATAGATATTATCACCAATAACTTTTACAATTTTTAGGTGCGTTAACTGTATAATAAATATAACTTTTATACTAAAAAATTATAAAACTATATTCCTTTTTACAATTTGTTAGTTAATTATATCAAAATTTATTTATTTAAAACAAACAACTTTTTCTACTCGCAGTATTTAATAGTAGAAATATAAGTATATAACAAGGTATTTTATAATGATTTCATGTTTATACACTATTACAGAAATTACATTTTACGTCACCCAATTATTGTCGTATGTCAAAATATTTGACGTAAATAAAATACGGTGACAATTTTGTAAATAAAAGGTGAAACTTTTACGTCGCATATTGTAGGAGGTGACGTAAAAAACCTCTTTTACGTCGCACCTGCTACAGCGCAACCTAAAAGAGGGCTTTTTACGTCGCGTGACGTGTGCGCGACATAAAAAGTGATATTTTTTACATCACGTGGAGGGTGCACGACATAAGAAGTATCACTTTTTACGTCGCACACCCCCCACGCGACGTAAAAAGCCATATTTTACGTCACGTGCTAGGGTGTGCGACGTAAAAAATACTTTTTATTCTCTTCCAGACCCACTCCCACATCTCACGCCGTAAGGGTTTTTGAGAATGACGATGAGAACGACGACAACAACCATCTTTCCACACCATTTTCGATCATTTTGGCAGTGAAGAACATCAACATTGTGTCTCATTTTACGAATTTGACATTTCTCCCCGATTGGATTCGAGTTTGAAATCGTTTTCGTGTTTACTCGATGTTAGTGTTCTATGTCTCCTGATATATGTTCAAATTAAATCCGTGATTGTTTTTGGGATCTTAATCACGTCATTGTATGAATGTCTCCACTGGATTGTTATTGGAATGTCATTATTTTGTTTGAGTGCATTTTCGGTTTACATACTCCATTTACGTGCTTTGTTGTTTGTATATTAATTTATTTTTAAATATAAATTTTGAATCTCTAGGAATGACGAAACTTTATAACATAATATGAATCAAAGTTGGATGAATGCACGTCGTATTAATGAAGAGTACGAAAAGGGAGTTGATGAATTTTTGAAATTTGCTAGTGAAAATGGAAAATGTATTGAATAATATATGACTTTTTTTCATTTAGAATCGTGTATATAACTAATGTTCTAAGTGGAAAACCTAGAACAAAGACTTTGCAGTTCATTTATCCTAAGGTTAGAAACTTATTATAATAAGTGAATACCATAATTATTGTTTGTATTTAAATTTTGAAAATAACATTAAATTTTATTCATCATTTCGAGTGTAATAAGCAAACAGACTCATTTGAATGTGGTTACTATGTTATGTATTGGATGAGAGTCATAGTTTATGCGGGTATAACTGATTCTTGGACGGAGGTAATTGTTTTCAACATTAGTTAAGTTTATTTAACTTTATGTGTGTTGAATGTTTACAAGAGTCAAATTAATGTTTCAGGTATTTCAAGATTCATCTCCATTGCCAGAATATGATATTACACAAATTAGAGAACAATGGACAAAGTTTTTCGTTCAACAATTCTAGTACTTAATTTTTAGGTTATTGTTCATATTATATTGTGTGTATTATGTAGTTTAGGTAGCTTAGTTTGTACTAACTTTTAGTTTGTTATATTTTAGTTTGTAGGTTATTGTTTGTATTTTATTGTTTTATTATGTAGTTTGAATTATATATAATATTATATTTTTTAAATACATAGTTAAAGAAACCTGAACCTCCTGGACTGTCTGGTTATAATATATATTTGCAGTGTTTTGGTTGTAAGACAAAATAAACCCAATTTTTTTAAAAAGAGCAAATTTACGTCGCATATTGGTATACGCGACGTAAATTTATGTCCCATATTGGTATATACGACATAAATTTACGTCGCATATACCAATATGTGACGTAAATTTGCTCCAATTTTTTTAATTTTTGATACTTTTTATGTCCGTTTAGTGTAAATGTAACATAAATTAACGCCGAGTCTCGATAACCGACGTGAATTTACATCGGGCGAAGGGTCCAACGTAAATTTTCGTCTCCCATTTTAACGTCATTCTTAAATGTGACGTAAAAAACCCAAAATATCTCGACGTAAAAATCCCTTTTTGCACTAGTGATATTTAAAAAAATAACAATAACATTATAATAAAACATATATTTGATCAATTTATATTAGATAACGAAACTATATTTATGCATTGTTTAAAAGGAATATTGACTTTTGACGATGTTATAATATACATTGAAAAAAAAAATAGTTAAAGAAATATTATTATAATAATACAATCTTTATCAAAATTTATCTATTTTTTAGAATTATAATAATAATTATTATTATAATAAAAAAATAATAAATCACCTTAATTAAAATATTTTATAATTATAATTTTTTACCATTATAATGTCAGTTTTAATGTCATAGCCAAACCCAAACATGACAGCAAGATTGTTGTTGCGAGGAAGTTTTAAAACGCACATAGCATATTGAAATGTTTGTCTAATTTGTATGTTTTCTTTCAATTAAATTGAAATCATGCTCAATTAACTTGAATCACAATAAATAAATAAATAATATATATATATATATATATATATATATATATATATATATATATATATATATAGTGTTACAAATATTCGAAATACGAAAACCATACCAATTAAAATTATTTTAACAATTATGAGCCTTTGTACACGAACACTACAAAATTTCTGATTTATCGACGGATATAGAGCCGTCGAAAAATGAGTAATTACTGACGGATTTAAGATAGTTGTGAAATTTGGTTTTACTGACGGATATATCCATTGGTAAATGAACTATTAATATCAATGGATATATCCGTCGGTAAATTAGGAGGAAATATCCGTCGAAAAATGAGTGATTATCGACGAATTTTTGAAATGTGGTTCTACCGACGGATATATTCGTTGGTAAATTAACAACTATTTCTCTGCTCAAAATATTGTTATCTTGTAACCTAAACGAGATCTCACCACTTTCTCACTTTATTCCCCTGTTTTCCTCCCGGCAGCCTCCAAATTCAGGTGCCACACCACCTTATGACGGTCATAACCACTCACCATCAGTCGTAGCCCTTCCGCGACGCCTATCACCTCCACCTCCACTACCAGTGACTCGCGGCATCACCTCCCACCTCTCATCATCTCCTTCAATTCTTCTCCTTCACCAACCTCACTCACTCTCGCGCAACACCCTCGCCAAAAATCACTCTAACACCCCCATCTCCGTCAGTCGATCCCTAGCTTGGGTCACGTCCACCACTAACCGCGAATCGCCTCCCTACCCATCCACTCACCACGGATCGAAGCAGCAGCCAGTCCCCTTGTCGAAGGTGAGGGCATGAGCTAGATCCCCTGTGGAGGTTGAACTCGAGGTCGAGATCCATATTCTGGGTTTGTTTTTGCTTTATGTTTGTACCTTATTCTGATTTGGCATTGCATTTATGGTCGAGGGTTTTGCTTCTGATGATTTATGATCGAAGGATTTTGCTTGTGATGGTGTAGTCTTGTTGATTGGGACCATGCTGAACATTTTTATTTTTAATTGGAGTCTGCTGGATTTTGTTTAGGGTTTCATTTTTGCATAATTTGCATTATTTCGTTTTTCTGATTGTGGACTGAGTTGCTTGGTAATTTTAGTATAGTTATGCCTTGGTTGTGATGTGTCTCGACCTTATTTTGATTTGGCATTGCATTTATGGTCGAGGGTTTTGCTTCTGATGATTTATGATCGAATGATTTTGCTTGTGATGGTGTAGTCTTGTTGATTGGGACCATGCTGAACATTTTTATTTTTAATTGGAGTCTGCTGGATTTTGTTTAGGGTTTCATTTTTGCATAATTTGCATTATTTCGTTTTTCTGATTGTGGACTGAGTTGCTTGGTAATTTTAGTATAGTTATGCCTTGGTTTTGATGTGTCTCGACCTTATTTTGATTTGGCATTGCATTTATGGTCGAGGGTTTTGCTTCTGATGATTTATGATCAAAGGATTTTGCTTGTGATGGTGTAGTCTTGTTGATTGGGACCATGCTGAACATTTTTATTTCTAATTGGAGTCTGCTAGATTTTGTTTAGGGTTTCATTTTTGCATAATTGGCCTTATTTCGTTTTTCTAATTGTGG